GAAAGACTGCCAAATTTTGTGAAGATATACACACTATATTGAAAGTTAGAAGTATTAAATCTATAATGACTTTAAACGAGTACAAAGAGGTCACTTGGTTGGTTAAATTGACCAAGCCCATGTTGAGAGAGTTAAAACTAATTTATTGTAGAATGTTTTATTTCAATCCAAAATAAATCAAGACAGTTTTTATTTTTTGTCTGGTTTTACCTATAAGAATTTTGGAAATTTCTTTATTACTGAAAAAAGTTACTGTCAGGGTTTTATGCATATGGGCTAGGATTCTTTACAGTAGGTGTCAGTGACTTGTTGGTGATAAATTCAAACAATAAATGGACAGCACATAATCCACTTGTTTTAAAAGAATATATTCAAAACAAGTCAAACGTACGTACAAAAATCCTTTACACTATTAGATATAACAGTTTTATCTAAAACTCTAAGTAATTCTCTTTTCTTGTCAAAAGTCTACTCAGGCTGATTCAATTACTTTAAGAGTCCAATTGACAACACAGATTATTTTTCTCTACTCATATTAGTGAATAATTCACTTACATCACTCCGTGGGTTACCATAGTTGTATCTCAAACTCCTTTTCATCAAAATCTACACGTACGGGTTCAATTAATTTACAACCTTTGACAAAATAAACTATTCTCCTCATCTCTGTTAAACTGTGAAACTCACTTTAAAATATCCTCCATTACAGCTAATTATTCAAATACTGGCTAACTTCACATTTTCTTTCGCTAACTAATTTTGTGACTGAATTGCATTTGCACTCGCTTGGTCACCTATATTTATATGTTGTTCACAGAGGCCTTGGACTTTCTTTAAACTATGTGAGTGGTGCTATAAAGCAACAATACTCAGTTAAAGTAATGAGAAAATTACCGAAGTTTCAAGTAACCTGACGCCAACAATATTAGTAAAGCCTAGACAACAATGTAATTGCAAACAATGTATGAATTGTACAGAGTTACATTACAAAAATTTGTCACAACTTTTAACACAATCCATCTTCGTTATTCCAGTTTTAAAAAACTAAACAATCATTAAATATTAAGTCCCAAAATAAACTAAATAATAACACTTACACTGAACAGTCTCATATATCCAACTTTTACTAGCATATTTTAACAAAACAAACAAAGATGAAGGAATGTTTTAAGCTAGACTGCATTTGTCGATAAAAAAACAACAACAACAACAACAACAGCAACACACTTTTCAAGAATACAGTCAATCAAAAGAACTTTTGGTTAAAAAAAAGGAAGAGAAAAGCATTTTATCCATGGAATTTTAAGTCAATTTTACTTCACCGTATAGAAAAGCATTTTACCCAGAAACTTAAATGAGCATTCTTAAACACTATTCATCACATACAGCACAAAGCAGTACTCATTGAACAATATTATGATGTTATTTGAATCTTTCTTACTTAAAATATTTCTGACTTGATTAAAGTTCTTCAACCAAATCATTTAGACAAGCTACTTGGAACCATGTAACATATTCTTCAAAAAAACATTTCTGAATTCCTTTCACCACCTCTTATTCATACTGATAAATAACCTCTTATTAGATGTTGCAAACTGTAATTCAGTTAAGGTTAGGTATGATGTCTTAAAATGAACAGCACAAACAATTATATTCATCATAATGATGTACTCATAATAAAACGATACAGCATGGATTTATAAAACAGATAATTAAAAATTAACAGTTTATAAACTGCTACATAGTCACTTGTGGTTTTAATAAGATCTATTAGCTAAAATAAACAGCACAAACAATTATATTCATCATAATGATGTACTCATAATAAAACAATACAGCATGAATTTATAAAACAGATAATTACAAATTAACAGTTTATAAACTGCTGCATAGTCACTTGTGGTTTTAATAAGATCTATTAGCTAAACTTCAGAATCTTACATTTTCAACGACAAATCTTTGATTATTCTTATATGTACAATCCACAAGCATTTCTTTCTAGCAAGATCTTATAATTAAAAAAGATTTGTGTATTAAATAATGATACTGTTCTGCCAATACTTTGGTTTTTGCCTCTGGTTTTTATCAACTAATAAATGTTGTATTACATAGCCTTGAAGGAAACAAAATAAGACAATTATAATGTGACCAGAAGATGAAGTAGCTACAGTAAGAAAATCTATATTACTAAGCACACACAGTGCAGTCGAAATATACAGCAAAGCTCGAGTTATACCTTATAAAGAAACACAAGCTTGAAATACATATATTTTAACCACTAGATAAATAACTATGCAATGAATTACAAACATAACCAAGTAAGAAATAAAAATCAACAAAGAGAGAAAAAATAAAGTAGAAAATGTGTAAAATATAAAAATTATTCTTGTTGGAATAACTTACCTTGATATGTTTTCCCATCTAATTCTATTTCATATGACTCCATAACTTCCTGAATGGCTCCTCCTACATCACAGAGACGAACATCGATACCAGCCTCCTATAACAGCCAGATAAAGCAGTGTAAAGACAGTTCACATTAGCAAGCATACATAAACACCAAAAAAAGAATAATAATAATTAGTGGGAACTAACAATCGTTATTCTAGATTTCTATTAATCTCATTGGTGTCTATAACAAATTATTGATATTTTGACCAGTTCATCTTCTTTGGGCTTTTCATTTGGGATGAATATTTTAAGTATGGTAGAACTTAACCCATACACTACGGGTTGGGTGGAAAGTATCCATGAGAGTAATTATACTATGGTTTTTGATTATGTAAGCATATCTTTCCCAAATTTTGCAGGTTATTGGTAAACATTACAAGGCTTTTTGTACACAAAATATCAGGTTTTTAAATTAAGTAATAAGATATTTTAATTTAAAATTTTCTTAAAATGTTTTTCTTTCAGAATGTGGACTATCCAACATGCAAAGTAATTTTGATTTTAAGATTAAAAATTATAACATTTTCAAATTTCACAGGCAAAATCTTTATAACCTCAAGATAATTATCAAATTTTTTTTTTAGTTCAAATATTATATTTTATCTGTTATTTTCACTACTGTCTTTCTGTACAGTTGGTTTGATTTGACCATCTTTGTAATGTCAATAAAAAATTAGGAAATAAATATAAATTATGTTTTTTTTCAGTCTAGAATGACTACAAATTATAACAAAAACACAAATGTTAAGTCTAAACAGCTTAAATTTCATAACGTTATACATTTATATATATTTATTATTTTTATTATATTGAACTTTCAGCTATGCCTGGCTAAATTATTGACGTTGCAAAGACGCGGCGCACATGCACTGATGTTACTGTATCTAAGAATATAAAACTGGCCTTTACAAAGTGACCTGTCTTGGCTGTATTTTAGTGGACTAGTACTGTGTAAAATACAGTCACATTTCAGTTTTAATACATTATATATGTATACATATTATTACTATCTAAAATAAGTTCTCAAATTTCAGTTATTTTTTTTAAAACATAGAACAGTAAATAAAGAATTATAGAAAGTAATTATCTCTTTTAGTTACAAACTTTGAACTTGTTTGCTGCTTGCCATAGGTTGCTAAGCCTCATTAAAATTTGCATGTGGAGGAAGTGAAACAAAATAATTATTTTAAGTTTCATATATGCATTTATAAAAAAAAATCTTAAATTACTATATCAATACCATAGAATTCCACTATAATTTATCAAACATAGTAACTAAGCTGTATTTGGGTCTAAAAAATATGAAATTCCAAGCTCACTAAAGTTTCACCTTACCTTTTTGAATCCAAGCTTTAAAAGAACAAGTTTGGTGCTGAGAAAGCCACTAGGGGACATTCTGAGCTTTCAATTGGTTATTCACACATCGTTAGACAGAGGTAAATGTACTTCAGCATGTCTTTCCAAAAATGAAAATAGGTGGGCAGGACCACTGTGTTTGTTCAATACATGTAGTGTTATCTCAGCAAATAGAAAATATAAGAGGCTCTTATATGATATTCTAGCTTATCAATATCAGTTCCTAATCCATAAGAAACTATAGACTTTGTATTTAGACATCACAAACATCTAATTTGAACCAGTGCTGCATTCAACATACCGCGTGACACATAAAAATCTATATTTAGGATTTTTTTTTTAACATCTACTTTTAAATTAAGAAATTAACAAGTGGATCATACTAAAATTTATATTATAATGTACAATTTGATACCAAACTTACTGATATACATCTATAAAATAGTAGTTCAATAAAATTTTGAATGCGAGTCTACAAACGCGATGACATGGCCTTTCACCAGTGACCATACGAAAACCTGTAGAGATAGGGTTAACAGTAAAGATCGACAAAAATTCCAAATGATTCACACACTGAAAAACCACCCTATTGAATTTCCAAGTGAAAAACCAACCCCTCAAAGTATTGATTATAATATATTATACACATATATAATAATAATACTCTAAGAAGGTCACTAACATTTCCGGGATAAAAATTCAAAAATTTCTGAAACAGCAGGTTTTTCATCTACTACCTACCTACCTGATCATGTCACCAGGACTAGCACCTAGACAGCTCAGACTTTTGCTACAAG